CACATTAGTGCCTGCGTTCCGGTCCAGTGCGATCTGCAATAAATTGTGTTTACAGCATTTTTTGCAAATCGCACTTGACCAGAATGCAGGCACTAATGTGCCTGCGATCGCACCTTGGGCGGGGGGCTTGCCTGCGGTGCCATTTAGTTTAATGCACCGCCACACCCCCTCCCGCCCCCCAAAAAACTGAGCTGGCCAGGATGTGTTCCAGAGGCCGAACGCACTGGAACACACTCCTGATGGTGTGAAGGGGCCCTAAGAGTTAATGTTTCTTTCTCTGTGTATCCCGTGCAAATAGTTTTTTTTTCAATCCTCCACCAGCCTCTGTGAACTCATACACCCAGTGTGGGGGAAAGGCTCACCTTCATGTATGGGCCCATTCACACCACATCTTCAGACCAGATTGTTTGCAGACCCAAAATGCAATCTAATGTATCCCTTTGCTATTTCTGGCCTCTGTTCACACCAGCACAGTCCGTTCCAGACCAGAAAAATACTGCTGGTCTTATTTTGTCTGGTCTGGGATGCACTGGAAGTGTGAACCTGCCCTTAGACTCAAGTAACAGGTCTCTCCACGCAGGTCCCTTTTTAATTAGGGGTGGGACGCCCACATTCAGGGATACATCACTGTCTAAACATATCCTCTCACCACAATCAGAAGTTGTATAGGGAAAGAAGTAAACCATAGTAAGTACCGTGTATAAAAAGTACAAGCGCTTTATTAAAATGTTACAAAAGCAATCCATCCATCGGCATTAAGAAAACTAAAAGCGTTCCTGCCAGTCTCGTTTTATCTCCCACATCCACGGCTCTGCCTTCTCCAGCAGTGGGTAGCTCTTTAGTGAAGGGTGGCTGTTAACCTTGTCAATAATGACGACGCTGACAACAGATACTAGGGATGCATCGATACTGGTTTTTCGGTATCGAGTAAGTGTACCAATATTTTTTTTCCGCTGCTCACAGATACCGGAAGTCTCCTGTAAGGAAGCCAGGCGGTGTCTAATGACTTGCCACCTGGCTTCCTGACTAGCCGGGAAGGCAGCTCGATGCTCCCTCGTCACCAGGTGAAGAGAGAGCATAAAACTGGCTTTCTGGCCAATCAGGAAGCCGGGGGGCGGGTAATGACTCGACGCCTGGTTTCCTGGTACCAGAAGCTCGGGTATTGGGCTAGACATCGGAGCATTTGGACGAGTATGAGCCCATATACTCTGCATCGGCACCGATACTAGTATCGGTGCATCCCTAACTGATACCCAGCGATCACCTGACATATTAGTCCAAATACTCTGCATCGGCACCGATACTAGTATCGGTATCGGTGCATCCATAACTGATACCCAGCGATCACCTGACAAATTAGTGCTATTTGTACAAGTTATCGTTTCATGCAGTTCACTGCCAAGGGGCCTGAAAAAGAGAGACTGCCTTGATCATAAATGGGTGTTAAGGGTTTGTTGGGCAGAGATCCCCTCGCAGTGTATGTGATATGGACTTGGCTTTTCTTGGGATGTAATATGCACATGTGTCAATCATCAAGCTCACCTTGACTTGATATCCAATCAGGGTGTTTGTTTCCCAAATTTTCTGAAAGGCCCAAGAACGCCACCTCTTTTACCTCCCTGGAGAAATCTGTTGTCCTTTTAATACCATTCTCCTGCATTGAAATTGGTGGTCTTTCAATCTCCCGCTCATGTTGCAGAGCGCTCCTCCTGCACTGTGAATGCTTTTATAGACTTGTGTGTCCCCTTTGCTTTCAGGAGAAGCGCCACAGCGGTGACTCCACACAGAGCGGGGAGTCTCAGCGCAGCGGCAGCACAGTGTCTGCCGGATACCACGAGGAACGTCGGAACATGGTGGAGGAGAAAGCAGGTGAGCCGGAGCCAGAAGAGGAGGAAAAGAACCCAGCGGATGATATGGAAGTGGAGTACATGGAGGTAACATGTTAAGAAATGAAATATGCAGCATTGCGCTTAAAGATTAAAACGTTCTCATTTTATTAATATAACTACCCCAAGGTGACTACATGAACAAGCCCCATGCATTAGACCTAAAACCTGCACAGGTGGGTTTTAGCAGACAGAGCTTCAGAAACAAGCTACCACTTTTGGAACTGAGGTGTTGGTCACATGACACGGACAATGACATGAAACACGGGCTTGGGTCATTACAGCTGCAGGGAAGCTTCTTAAGACTTTCAGCCCCATGATTACATGTTTTTGCTGGATGCTGCGATAACAAGATGTCCTTTTTAGTATTTATTAGGGATTGGCTGAGGTACAGATGTAGTTGGAGATGCACACCCTACAGCAGTGCAACAGATGAATCCCATTCAATGTACAATAATGATGTCATTTAATTTGCATATGTTTTGTGAGAAAATATTGTAAGAAGCTCCCAGTGTGCAGTGAAATCAGAGGAAGCAATTTAAGTCCACGAGAGGAGCCGGTACAACCGTGTAAGACTGAAGGGGAGGCCGGAGTTTAGCTAATAGACCCTAAGCCAGTGGTGGCGAACCTTGGCACTCCAGCTGTGCCAAAACTACAAATCCCAAGATGCATCTGCCTCTGGGAGTTAGTCTGTGGCTGTCAGAGCCTTGCAATGCCTCATGGGACTTGTAGTTCCAAAACAGCTGGAGTTCCAAGGTTCGCCATCACTGCCCTAAGCAGTAACCTTATTTATTGTGAATTCCGGAACCAATGCCGACCTCCTAGGTGATGCGTTTCTGTTAGAACACAATGCTGTAATGATTCGATCAGGATTCTGTTCAGCCATCTTGCTTTTCTTTCTGCAGCACAGCGTACACTTTGCAGAGGAGACTCTTGTGCACTGTGACGATGAAGAGGATGACTATGACGAAGATAGGGGGTCCCCGGAAAAGAAGCGTCTGATCCGTAAGGACACACCACACTACAAGAAACACTCAAAGATCACAAAACTGCCAAATACCGAAGCTGTGGTGGCCTTACTGCAAGGACAGGCCCCCTGTGGACTCGCAGAGGATCAGGATGGACATGGTCAGGGATATAGGAGGTGCTCACAGGAGGCCGAGGAGGACGATGATGTAGAAGAGGCAGAGGAGGACAAGGATTGGGAACCAGAGAACAGAGAGGAGAGGAACAGCGCCCAGCAGAATATCAAGGTACAAAATGTCTGATTTCTACACACACTTTATGACCACGTGGATGGAGTGGGTAAGGATCACACCCCGTACAACCCTTCTGATTTCTGTAATGGACAGGGTGATAGACACAGCAATGGCTGCAATCATTTATATTCAGCATGTCACAATCTCTGCACATTGTGTGTCCTGAATCTCAGGCTCACACCAGCTGACACATTTCCCAGAACCCTTTCTTCTATGCCTGCCTAGTATGGCCTAACCAGCTACCTGGTATGTTACCTCTCCCAGTTGTCCTATTTTCCTCCCACGGTGCCTTAGTCAAAATATAAAGACAAATACATTTTGTATCCATTTTTTGTTTTATATTATCTTATTGTGAATGAATTGATCAATCATAATCTTATTGGAACGTACACATGGCCAGATTATAACTGTAATTACCAGAATTTTACATTGCAGAAGCTGAAGACAGTGGCGTAGCAATAGAGCTCCCAGTGGTCACAGCTCTAACTGGAGCCGGTCACAAGGGGGCCCCTTGACAACGAATGGTGTCCTTGTTGTGATGAAGGGAAATGCAGAGCTGTTGTCAGCTTTAGTATCTTCTCCAAGCATACAGAAATCTGCATATATAAAAACTCTTATCAGCATACTGTAGGCAATTTCCAGAAGCCTTAGAATTAATGGGGCTGCACACGTCAGAGGTGTTCTGGTCGTGCATACAGCAGGAGGTGACAGACAGACTTTGGAACATGGCGGGTGGGTCATCAAGAACAGGGCAGTGGAAGCAGCAATAAATTGGTAGGTGGGTGCATTGAGCAAATAAATGAACAGTGTTGATTACTGCAACTAAACAAATGATTTGCTTCTTTTTTTATTTCACATGAGTAATATGATAGTCATTTAAATAAAAATATTTTAATATTGTCTCCATGCCAAGTATGTGCTAACCAGGGTTAGGTGGCATTTGGATTTCAGTTTATATTAGGGGTAAAGTGTTGACCTGAGCTACAGAAGAAAAAGATTTGGGGTGCTCATTTCAGATGATTGCAAAATGAGCAAATAGTGTGGCCTAACAGTGGGAAAGAGCTTAGAATTTTGGGGTGCATCAGGAGGAAGGAGGTCCTGATTCCTCTATATAGATCATTAGTGATCACTAGAGGGAACCCCAGCAGGAGGAAGGAGGTCCTGATTCCTCTATATAGATCATTAGTGATCACTAGAGGGAACCCCAGCAGGAGGAAGGAGGTCCTGATTCCTCTATATAGATCATTAGTGATCACTAGAGGGAACCCCAGCAGGAGGAAGGAGGTCCTGATTCCTCTATATAGATCATTAGTGATCACTAGAGGGAACCCCAGCAGGAGGAAGGAGGTCCTGATTCCTCTATATAGATCATTAGTGATCACTAGAGGGAACCCCAGCAGGAGGAAGGAGGTCCTGATTCCTCTATATAGATCATTAGTGATCACTAGAGGGAACCCCAGCAGGAGGAAGGAGGTCCTGATTCCTCTATATAGATCATTAGTGATCACTAGAGGGAACCCCAGCAGGAGGAAGGAGGTCCTGATTCCTCTATATAGATCATTAGTGATCACTAGAGGGAACCCCAGCAGGAGGAAGGAGGTCCTGATTCCTCTATATAGATCATTAGTGATCACTAGAGGGAACCCCAGCAGGAGGAAGGAGGTCCTGATTCCTCTATATAGATCATTAGTGATCACTAGAGGGAACCCCAGCAGGAGGAAGGAGGTCCTGATTCCTCTATATAGATCATTAGTGATCACTAGAGGGAACCCCAGCAGGAGGAAGGAGGTCCTGATTCCTCTATATAGATCATTAGTGATCACTAGAGGGAACCCCAGCAGGAGGAAGGAGGTCCTGATTCCTCTATATAGATCATTAGTGATCACTAGAGGGAACCCCAGCAGGAGGAAGGAGGTCCTGATTCCTCTATATAGATCATTAGTGATCACTAGAGGGAACCCCAGCAGGAGGAAGGAGGTCCTGATTCCTCTATATAGATCATTAGTGATCACTAGAGGGAACCCCAGCAGGAGGAAGGAGGTCCTGATTCCTCTATATAGATCATTAGTGATCACTAGAGGGAACCCCAGCAGGAGGAAGGAGGTCCTGATTCCTCTATATAGATCTTTATTACCACTAGAGGGGTCCCCAGCAGGAGGACGGAGGTCCTGATTCTTCTATATAGATCCCTAGTTCGACCTTTTTAGAATACTGTATCCAGTTCTGGAGACCACAAAAAGATATTGATGAGGAACAAGTCCAGAGACTGGCATAGAACATATTGGAAGAGTCTCTGCAGGAACTTAACATTTACAGTCTGGATGAAAGAGTGGAAAGGGAGAACATGACTGAAATCTTTACATTCCAGGGTTGGTTGAGATGCATAGTCTTCTACCCTCTACGTCCTGTATCCAAGAAAGAATCTGAGGACACACTCATAAGTAAAAGGTATTGCAACAAAGAGACAACCCAAAGCTCATCTGGGACCTCCTCCCCTGGATGGGCTTCACATTTTACTTACGAGGATTCCCACTGTGTGCTGCCGGCTTCTCTCTTGCATCTACAGGTAGCTTGAGGATGAGGAATAGCCCTTGCCATGTTTTGGCACCCAACAAGCAAAGGAGTGACCTAGCATACAACACTTGGTGTGGCAGATAATCTTTGTATACCTGTATACTGCTGTGGAAATCAAGCCATACTGCTTTAAAAACTGAAATATTAAACTTGAACTGTGTGAGCTTTATCTATAACCCCCCCACATGATATTTTCTAGTCAAAACAATGGTGAGGGCCGATTGGCATACGTGTGGGAGGTTCCGATTTTAGTTTTAGGACCTGAGAGCTTTGTGCTGCGCCACTGGCTGAAGAATCTGTATTGTAAGTATGGACACGGTGCCACAACCCTCTTGTCTTGGTATTATTCAGTCCAAGAGTTCAACTAAAACACATTGCCATGTTGCCTCCAGCACTGCCTCGCTTTCTGCTCTTTCGTGGAAGGATGCGTCCCACCAAAATCTGTGATATCTGTGATAATGTAATCATGCTGCTTTTGTCACACGTTTCATTTCTCATGGTGCCTCTGACTGCAGAAATAATACAAAGTTTGGGGTGTGAAAGAAGAACTCCAGTCTAGTTTTTTGCAAAGAGCAGCTGCAGACGTTACTATAGGCAACCAGAAAACCCATTTACCTGTTGCAGCTAATGTATTCATGCAGGCCATGATTCCCTTATGACTATCTCCTCGGCGGCTTAAAGTGTATCTGAACCCTAACTACGGACTTCTCATGTGCTTCCTTTGGGTCTGTTAACTATACCACTGATACGTGCAAACAAATACCTGATGGTCCTGCCAGAAATCCAGTGAGCTGATATCTTCCTGTGCTTTTTGCCTTATATCAGTTGCGTTGTTCCCACTTCTCTCTGTGGACTTCGAAAAAACCTCCCCGCTATCATTATGGAGAGATGGGGGAGGGCGCTGTCCTGCATTCATAACACGCTTTCTGCCCTAGGCGCTCCTCAATAGAGTGCAGCGAGTAAGTATTGTCACTCTGGGACAGGAAATGTGTTACTGGCAAGGTCACCAGGTGAAAAAAAAAAGTCCAAAGAAGATGCTGGGTATTGATGCACTTTAAGGCATGATTGACATGCAGAGCAGGTACGCTTTTTGTTCCTCCGTTCAGCCCAGATGTGCTGTGACATGCTAAGGAGAAACTGGCCTCATAGGTGAGGAGACTCAAATGTCTGAACGCTAAATTTGGCATCATTTTGTAATTCTAAATGGAGATGGACGTTTCCTTGAAGTGGAAGGATACCCTAAAAATAATCAATGAACTTTAAGCAGCCCTGTAACACGTGTCCCTTGATGAATATATAACACCTGGTTTGACTTCTGTCAATGCCGATTGTCCAGCAATTGGCATTGGAACCTGCTGCTTATTACCAGCAATGCCATGCAGCTCATGGTGTCACTCAGCCCCCCTCATCCTCTACATCTTTGACTGCATCAGGCACAGAGGAAGCAAGCCGTTTCCAGTCAGGCTTTGCAGTCAAAGGACGAAGATATCATCATAAGGGGGCTCAATGACACCATGAGTTGCTTGGCATCGCTGGTAATAGCAGACAGTTTCCAATGCTGGACAACTGGACAGATTTCCAACAGGGTGCTGTGCATTTGTCAAGGTACATGTGTTATATGGATGTTTTAAAGGTCTGTAATGACTTCTAGGGTGTACTTCCACTTTAAAGAGAGCCAGACTGATTTAATTTATGCAAGAATTTGAATATTCATTGTAGAACTGTGCAAGCTTATTTATGAAAGCATAGTCAGCGTTATTTACTCTAAGCCTGACATTTCATCTTGAGAGGCACCAGTGCCTCGCTCAACCAGGCCAGGGCTGGCTCACCGGTGCCTCACTCAACCAGGCCAGGGCTGGCTCACCGGTACCTCACTCAACCAGGCCAGGGCTGCCTCACCGGTGCCTCGCTCAACCAGGCCAGGGCTGCCTCACCGGTGCCTCGCTCAACCAGGCCAGGGCTGCTTCACCAGTGCCTCCCTCAACCAGGCCAGGGCTGCCTCACCGGTGCCTCGCTCAACCAGGCCAGGGCTGCCTCACCGGTGCCTCGCTCAACCAGGCCAGGGCTGCCTCACCAGTGCTTTCATGAAGGAGCTTGCACAATTCTAATCATTTATAAGTGAATGTTCACATTCTTGTGACTGGCTCTCACTAGGAACCTGGGAAAACTAGATAATGTGGTCATGTTGCGTGGCCCTCATGTAGATTTGGGGCTTCTTGGAGTTCTTCTTTAAGCCAATCTTCTGGTCTAAGCCCTCGTTCACACCTGACAGTTTTGTAGCGCGTTCTACGCTCGACGAACGCTCTACAAAATGGTCAAAAATATAAATTGCATTGTAGTCAATGGTCTCGTTCCCACCTTGCCGTATTTCTGCCCGTCCCTAACGCCCTACAAAACGGCCCACGCCTGAAAAGGTCCAGGTACTACTTTGGGCCGTTTTGTAGGGCGTTTTCCATTGGGATACATCCAAGTAGCCTTCGGAATCGCGCAACTTTTTTACCGCGACAGACGCGCATATGCAATACGCCTAGGTGTGAACGAGGGCTTACAGTAACTGTGCAGGAATGATGATGTCTAGTATTTTGCAGAGGAGACACAACAAAGGTGGGTCAATGGTGTTGGGTGTTTTTTTTTTTGTTAATTTTTGCTCCACTAATCCGCATGCCTGTCTTTCTCCTTCTCTGTCTTCATCTGTCTCTGCTGGATTCCCTTCTAACAGGGTGTGTCGTTTGATCAAGTGAATAATCTTCTGATTGAGCCTGCAAGGATAGAGGAGGAAGAGGTGTGTACCGCAGCTTGGCGCTCTCTGTTCCCCCTCTGTCTCCGCCTTCCCTTCATCCTTATCTGAAATCACTCAGCCAATCAAGCGCACTCCTTCCCTCCCCCGCAGCTCCACGATTCCCCCCTCGGTGATGGTTGTGTCTCATGTCTGTCCTTCGCTCTCACACTGGATTGTAGCTTCCAGGAATTCAGACTTCATCTTCTCAGATGATGCATAACGCTATGTAGTGTTTAGAGATGCTTTATAGGGTAGAATTAAAGTGGAATTGCAGCAACTGGCCTAGGAAAAGGTCAGATATCTACAGTTGCCTGTAGTAGAGAGACGGATGCATGTCCAGGCATTACCAAAATGTACTCCCTGTGATGTCATCACGCCAGGCTTGCATCATTAATGTAAAGGCAGGCTACTAGTAGAGGGGTGGGCAACGCCAGTCCTCCAGCTGTTGTGCAACTACAAGTCCCATGAGACATTGCAAGGACTGACAGCCACTGGTATGACTTCCAGAAACAGACATGTTGTGATTTGTTGGTAAAGCACAACTGGAGGGCTGGAGTTGCCCACCCCTACACTAGGAAGTTAGAAACAAGTCAGCAGTGGCATCTCCTCTGTGTCTGTCCTGACTGCTCCCTTTTAAGATACCTGTAAGGATACCAATATGGGAGCAACCATTGCTGGCTTGTTTTAAATGATTCTTGCTTTGAGTTGGTCAGCCTCACAGAGTCACAGACCCTGCAGCCAGCATCCAAATGTAAAGTTCGGACTGCCAACTTGCATGTTCTGCGTCAGACTCTCAGCGTGATTAACTCAGGACCAGCATATGGCTGTTGTGCATTGGATCTGAGGTCCATTTGGAGATTTCGAAGCCTGCACTTACTCGGACTGAGGGGATGACAGTTGCACACATGGTCCATTTTTGGATGGGTTTGGCATCGGTCTCATGTCTCTAGGCACCTCCTGACCCTCCTGGGTGACCATTCTGAAGGTGGAATTTGAATGGGCAGGTTTGAACAAATTCATGGCTGTTCCTTCCCCCAAAAACAGCCACCATTAGAAATTTCTGGAATTTGTTCAACATCTCTTCTTGGCAAATGTCGACAGATAATTAAATAAGTAAATGTTAAAATCTTACAAAAAGCTCCACCTATATTATATACTATGTTGACCCTAAACCTAAATACTAAAGCGGCTCTTAACTAATGTTTTAAAGTACCTTTTATGAATGATTGTAATTTTTTTTTAGAAATCTGTTTAAAGTTTTTAATAATACAGAAGGGAAGAAAAGAGTCCAATAATACAAGAGAACAAAAAAATGTATACACAATCACAAGCAAAAGAAGAGTTGTCTCGCATAGCAAGATAGAAAAAGAAACCGGACAGAACGGTGGTCTGCCGCCTGGCAGGGGTCTGCCCTCAGGCACATATTGAGTGCCCATATAAAAGCATTAGAATACTGATCAACATGCTGCCCCTGATTGACAGGAGGAGGTGGGGAAACTCCCAGAAGTGAATTACTGTGCTAAACTGCAAACATCTGGGGTGCAGCTCAATGCTTAGCGGTGGCGCTGTTCTATGAGCCTTTGTGCCAGATCTGAAAGGAGTTCTTACTAGTTGGCACAGCTAACCATTGATATGGCCTCTTCATTCCGTACTCAAGAGGTGCACAGTTCGTGCTCTAGAGGTGCACAGAAAGCAGCACCTCAGCATGTTTGCATCTGGGTTTTCCTGATGTTTTGTAGGGTGTCCAGATTGTGAGTAATTTGGGGGTCATTTGGTGGCACTGTCCCCAATAACCAGCCTGACTTTCCCAAGGTTTGTTTAGGATGTTGTATAGAATGGTGCAACACATTGTTGGTAAATGGCTCCCATGGTGGGTGACTTTACTGAATGAAGGCAGAGATTTTAAGCAGACACTTAAAGGAGAACTATGGGGTTAAGGCTTTACCCCATAGTTCTCCTTAGGGTAACGGGAGGACACAATCTAGCATCCTCCCGTCACCCTAGGCTCAGTATACCGCAGCTGAAGCGGAGCCCGACAATTATGTCTGGATCCGCCCAGCTGCGTGACTGACAGCTGGCTCTGCCTATCTAGAGGCAGAGCCAGATGTGCCCGTCCGTACCGCCAGTCAGCACTGGCGGATCGGAGCGGGGGGAATCCAGCCCCTCCTCTGTCACGGCAGAGAGCCGTGACAGGTGCGAGAGGTGAGCGAACGCCCGATGTGTTCGCTCACATCCCAATCTACGGAGCCGAACTGTGACAGTCTCATTGTCACAGGTCGGCTAGAACTATGAGGTGAGTGAAAAGCACTCACCTCATAGTTCTCCTTTTTAAGGATGCCAACTTAGCTTGTAAAAACAAGGGTTCTGGCCCCATGGCAGGAAGGACTGGCCTTAGGCACCAGGAATCCCAGCACAGAAGAGCTGGTTATATAAATAAGGGGTGAAGAGTATATGAGGGAGGACTAGGTGAAAGGTACCCAGGTTTTCTCCTTAAAGCTGAACTCTAAGCGGAAATTTGACCTGATTAGTTTAAAAGGGCTTCCCTAGCTGTAAACCCTTGCCCACCTGTTTTTTATTCTCCCCTTAAGGGGCAACCGTGAGTCAGGCTTCCCGATCATGTGGTTGGCTGTCATGGTTGTCATATAGTTAGGAGCCCATTTCGACGGCTCCCACTGTAAATAGTGACCGGGAGCTGCCGGTGATGGCACGTTCACTGTGTTTGGAGCACGCCTGTGGCTATAATCTTAGAACAGAACATCCGAGGTAGGTGATGCATATTTGCGGTGGCTCGGTGTTGGGGCCCACCCACCTTGCTGCCACATATATGCATTACACCAGTGGGAATGGGTTAAATAATCTTATTGTTTATATCCGGGCATTGAGAAAACAATAATTGATTCATAAAAGGCCTTTGCCCCTTTAATTTCCTTTTAGTACTGGTGGCCCCCTATACCCACTATTCCCCCAGCCACCGGAGGTGTAACACCTCCTATGTAGTTCATTTTGTACTGAGCAGCACTGTAATCACGTTGCTACTCACTGTAGTTGGAGGACCTGGAAATTTCCGACTCCTGCTCTGAACCACCCACTGTCATTGCATCATTTGATTGACAGGTCCTTCCCCCAGCTAAATACAAACTTGTCCTGTCCCTCCCACAAATGTAGTTCATTTTGCAATGAGCAGCACCATAATCACATTGCTGCGCACTGTAGTTGGAGGACCTATAAGTTTCGGACACCTGATCTCCCTCTGTTTTTGCATCATTTGATTGACATGTCCTCCTCCCTATCCAAATACAAACTTGTCCCTGTCCCTCCCACATTCTTTCTACTACCCGCCCATTGAGAACTACTGTTCCTATGGCATGATGGTAATTGTAGGATGTATAAGCAATGCCTTCCAGTGGGTGGAAGTGACCTCACCGCATGAATGGTTCTTCCTCTGGGAGCCCAGAAATTGCTGCACTTTGTGAATGAAACCAGTGCTGTCCCGAATTAAGAAAAGGTTGTTGGTGCTACTAACTGTCCTGGAGTCCACCTTTTAAAGTTTCAGGTTCTCATTTCTGCCTGGTGTCCCCATTGGGAAGTGTCACCCTCTGTCTTGGTGGCCATTGTCACCAGAGCCGAGTGTGAAGGAACATCCAAAGTTTTGAGTTGTCACCATAACAAGAGTAGAGACGAAATCTTCCAGTGGGGGCCCATGTTCTGGTCACCATAGATTTGCTTACTTCTTCGGGTGTCTACAGGACAAGTGAAGAAACAAAATCTTCCTAATGGGACACAATTGGGGAAAAAAAGACTGATTTTTAACTCTCTTCCCCCTACCCATCCAAAATAAGAGGGATAATTTGGCATTACATTTACATTAAAATATTGCGAACTTCTGACTGGCAATAACTGAGGGTGTTCTGTTGCGGAGAGTAGAAGATGGGGCCATCCATGGTGGATGTAAACCAACCCATGAGATGAAACCCTGATGTAGGAGAAATTAAGCCATGAAGGGGTTAAATAACTACTTGACACACACAGAAATGGAGGCCTTTGTGGTAACATTGTGTAAATGTAAAGTTTTAATGTTATCATGGAATAACAAAAATGAATATAACTCTGAATGCCCAGTGAATGGTCCCGAATAGTGAGGATTGAGGGTGCGGGGCTAAATGCGGCTTCAGTTTCTGAGGTTGCAGATTAAACATTGGGGGCGCATTGAGCTCCAGGGCGATCTACAAGATGTGGTGCATATTTGTTCACATGGGGCCTTTTCGTGTACGGTTTACCAAGTTTAAAGTGAACCCACAGTTTGTATATCGCCCCAGGCCCTCCGCACTGCGTGACAGGGGATGGGCTGAATTCCCCGCTCCGATCCGCCAGCGCTGACTGGCGGAACGGACGGGGGAGGGGGCGGGTACAGCTGGCTCTGCCTCTAGATAGGCAGAGCCAGCTGTCACTCACGCAGCTGGGCGGATCTCGACATCGATGTCGGGATCCGCTCCGGCTGCGGCGTCTCAGTCTCGTGGTATACTGAGCCTAGGGTAACGGGAGGACGCTAGTTTGTGTCCTCCTGTTACCCTAAGGAGAACCATGGGGAAAAGCCCTGACCCCATAGTTCTCCTTTTAAGGCTAAAGTTCCATAGGCTGACACACTCTAAACCACTCCTCCTACTGATGCATTTTCCCCCCTAGTGGACCATAATTCTAGCTCTACAAGTAAGCTCCACTGCGCGGTAATACGTGTCAGTGGAAGTGGTTTGAGGTCTCCGTATCCAGGCTGGAACTTGAACAATAAAGTTGTTTTTATCCCAGAGGGGATCAGTCACCCCACTCTGGACTATGTTCTCCTTCAGGTTAAAAACAACTGTATTTTTCCAAGTTCTAGCATGAACACTGACATGCCAATCCACTCCTTCATGTGGCATGTCAGTGTTCATGCTGGAACTTGAACAATAAAGTTGTTTTTAGCCCAGAGGGGATCCGTCACCCCACTCCAGGCTTTGCGTAGCACATGCAAGGCTGCACTCTGTTCTCCTTTTAGGCTTAAAATAACTTTATTGTCCCAATTTTAGCATGAACACGGACATGCCAACCCACTCTTTTCTTTGGCCATGCCGGAACTTGAACCAGTAAAGTAGTTTTTTTACCCCGAAGGTGAACAGAGTGCGGCCTTGCATTTGCTATGTCGGTTTAAAGTGAACACAGATTTCAGATGATAACAAATTTTCCAGGATCTATTTAGAAAGGGATATTCCGCTGTCCTTGTAGGGGAACAATGAACCTCTTTTTTATGTAGATGGGACTAGCCAGGGTCTTGGCAAACGTTTGGCCAGTGACTGAACCCAGTTGGTCCCTGTTGCATAGGGTGTGGTAGGTTACCCTGAAAATTTAGTACGTCTTATACCAAGATGAAATATCTGTAGTGACACCATTTTCAGTATCTGTCACAATGTCCCCGAGTTCTGACATCATAGATAAGAGTGTGCGAACCGCCCTGAATGCATGTTCTGTCCCTGATCTGTGGAGGGCCAGGTTCATATTCTGGCTGTGATTGGTTTATCATATTCATGAATTACTCTCAACATTCTGCGACAGACTGGGGGTCTGGGCATCAGCATAGCGGGGGGCAAAGGCTCCACCCCCTACAAGGGAGATGATGAGGTGAGCAAACTCGGTGGTGGGTGAGTGGGACCCTTAATTTACAGACTGCGTCATGCTTGTGAATCCATAACACACGCTGGTCAGCATACCATCCAATCCCCGGATGGCAGCCGATTGTGGCTTATCTTATGTGGTGCTACCTGGAGAGAGAGACGCACCTGAGATGGAAAGACAAATGTATAGGGCACAGATAAGTCCATTTATGGAGTTTGGGGAACATTTCCCACATTGGCTGGAGACTTTCTTCAAACCGTGTCTAACAGTGATACGGCAACACTTAGACAACTCCATTGTTATCCAGCTGTTAGAAACATCAGGTGGTGGACACCAAGGTGTGTGTGTGTGTGTCTTTTTTCTTTTTCATCATTCTCCCTTCTAATCTGTGCTTCCTGTCCACTCGCAGGGGATTTTTATCTCCAGAGTAGCAGAGGAAGGACCAGCGGCTCGGGCCGGTGTGCGAGTTGGAGATAAACTTCTACAGGTGAGTGAACAATTACCCACAAGGAGATATATGAAAGCCAGGGCAGAGTGTTTAAATAACACAAAGACTTTGCTTGGTTAGTTTTTATCGGGGATATACCGATACTAGTATCTGTGCCGATACCGAGTATTTGTGCCGAGGACTCGTACTCACCCAAATGTTCCAATATTTACCCGCGATACCATAACTTCCAGTCAGAGGGATATTGCCTTTGACCGGCTGTGCCGCAAGGGTACATGGAGCCGGCTTTCTGGCCAATCGGGAAGCCAGGCAGTGGGTAGTGACTCGCTGCCCGGCTTCCTGATTGGCTGGGAAGCTGGCTCCATG